CGATGCACACGGCGTAACACAGCCACCGTGAGATACCTCGGCCAAAGCAGCTCGCAAGGCAGCTCGAATAAAGTTAACCTTCTCAACCTCCCCTGACCCGCCCCCTACCCCGCCCCACCCCAACCCAACACCGGAAAAACACCCCCCCAAAGCCCACCCCCCCCTACTCTCTCCTTGCCCACCTCCTTTAACGACTGGCATTGGCCTCCTCCTGAGTCCATCCTCCTACTCCCAAGCACTCCATGCACGCCTCCTCCTCCTCTCCCTTCTCTCTTCCTACCTCATCCTCCTGCCCATTATTCTCCTCTCTTTGCCCACTCCTCTTCCTTCTCCTGCTCCATCCCAATCTCCTGTTACTCCTGTTCCTCCTGTTCCTCCTCCTCCTCCTCCTCCTCCTCCTCCTCCTCCTCCTCCTCCTCCTCCTCGGGTGGAGGCTAGCATCTTTCTCGCAGCGAGCGATTTTCTCACAAAGAGCGTCTTCGCCCGTTTTCGGGCCCTGGGACCCTCACGGATCGGCCCGGCTCGAAAGATGACGCAGAAAGATCAGGTCCGGAGCTCTGGCTGCTGGCCGTGATCTCACGCAGGGAGAGGCGTGTACAGAGCGTTCGCCTGTGAGGCACAGGTCAACACTGATACGCTCCGACATCATTGGAGCTGCGGGTTTTTCGCCGTTCTCGGCAGGCCTCGGGACTGTCAAACAACGACTCGGGACGACAAACTGGCCCCAGAGAAGTGGACCAGCCCTCTGGGGCCCACGCATCGAACAGATTGGAGCAGCCTGATGTCTGGGTACGCTGCTGCTGATGATGATGCTGGTGGTGATAATGATGATGATAATGAGAATGATAATGATGATGATGATGATGATGATGATGATGATGATGATGATGATGATGATGATGCTGATGCTGATGCTGATGCTGATGCTGATGCTGATGCTGATGCTGATGCTGATGATAATAATGATGATGGTGCTGATGATGATGAGGATGATGATGAGGATGATGATAATGCTGCTGCTGATGATGGTGCTGCTGATGATGTTGATGACTGAGGATGATGGTGATGATGATGATGATGATGATGATGACGGTGATGAATGAGAATAGTGGTGATGATGCTGATGATGATGACGCTGATAGTGGTGATGATGTTGATGTCGATGATGATGACGACGACAATACTGATGCTGATGGTGATCAGGATGAGGATGATGAAGATGCCGATGATGCTGATGCTGATAGTGATGCTGATGATGATCATGATGACGATGATGATGATGATAATGATGATGTTGATGCTACTGATGATGATGGTGATGATGCTGATGGTAACGATGATGATGATGATGCTGATGATGATACTGGTAATGTTAACGATGACGATGCTGATGATGAAATGCTGATTCTGCTGTTGTTGCTGTAGCATTATCATCACCATCATCATCATCATCATCATCATCAGCATCATCATCATCATCATCATCATCATCATCATCATCATCATCATCATCATCATCATCGTCGTAAGCATCATCGTGAGCATCATCATCATCATCAGCAGCATCATCAGCATCATCACCATACCAGCATCATCAGCATCATCATCACCAGCGTCATCATAAGCAGCATCAGCATCAGCATCAGCATCAGCATCATCATCGTTACCATCAGCATCATCACCATCATCATCAGCATCAGCATCATCATGATCATCAGCAGCAGCAGCACCATCATCAGCAGCATCAGCATCATCAGCATCATCTGTATCATCATCATCATCAGGATCATCATCAGCAGCATAATCAGCATCAGCATCAGCATCATCATCCTCATCCTCATCCTCATCCTCATCCTCATCCTCATCCTCATCCTCATCCTCATCCTCATCCTCATCCTCATCCTCATCATCATCATCATCATCATCATCATCATCATCATCATCCTCAGCATCCTCATCCTCATCATCCTCATCCTCATTCTCATCCTCATCGTCGTCGTCATCATCGTCATCATCATCCTCATCATCAGCAGCATCATCATCGTCAGCCGGCCACTGCGCCCCGCGCCCGGCACCCCGCCATCGATCTCGCGCAAGGAGCGCGGTGCACACAGCGTCAGCCCGTGAGACACAGTCAAAACTGATAGCAAGGGTACGATCTCCTCCTCCCCCTGCCCCTCTCCCTTCCCCTCCTCCTCCTCCTCCTTCTCCACCTCCTCCTCCTCCTCCTCTTCCTCCTCCTCCTCCTCCTCCTCCTCTTCCTCCTCCTCCTCCTCCTCCTCCTCCTCCTCCTCCTCCTCTCCCTCCTCCTCCTCGGCTCCTCCTCCTCCTCCTCCTCCTCCTCTCTCCCTCCTCCTCCTGCCCCTCTCCCTCCCTCCTCTCCTCTCATTCCTCCTTCCTCTCCTCCTCCTCCTCCTGCCCCTTCCTGCCTCGCTCCCTGCCTCCTCTCCTCCACCTTCCCCATCCTCTCGTCACCTCCCTCCTCCTCCTCCTCCTCCTCCTCCTCCCTCCTCCTCCTCCTCCTCCTCCTCCTCCCCTCCTCCTCCTCTTCCTCCTCCAACTCTCCGTCCTCCTCCTCCTCCTCCTCCTCCTTGACCTCTCCTCCTCTCCCTCCTCCACCCACTCTTTCCTCCTGCTCATCCTCCTCCTCCTCCTCCTCCTCCTCCTCCTTCTCCCTGGGGGCCGCGCCGTTTGTCTTGCACGCGCGCAGACGCACGACGCCGACGCCGCGGCAAACCCGCGGCAAGCCCCGCGCCCAGCGCCCCCAGGCGGACGAGGCCAGGCACAGCGGCAACCCCCACGAGGCCGGGCAAAGCGGACGGGGGCCAGGCACAGCGCCCCAGGGGCAACAGAAGCAACTTCGGCGCCTGCGGCGGGTTTCTTTTGCATTCGTTCCAGGTGGAGAACCTGCGACCCAAACCGCGTTCAGTGTACAAATCCAAATTTTCGGCGCCTGCGGCGGGCTTTTTTTTGAATTCTTTCCAGGCGGAGGTGGAGAGCCCGCGACCCACCCGCGACCCAAACTACGTTCACTGAACGTTCACTGAACGAGCCAAACAACGTTCACTGAACGGCTCGACGCCCGCGTCGCCCGCGCCCGCCCCCTCACTCTTATCCGCAACTGCGGGGTGCTACGTACAGTGGAGGCCAGTCCACAAGAAACCTTCCACCAGAAGCCCAGCCCTGAGACCCCAGGGCGTCCATGGACTTTTGGTGTAAGAGCGTCACGCTTTCCACGGCAAAAGCATCGAAGCCCAAGAAACCCAGGGCACCCTGGAGGCAAGCAGGGTGTTTCTTGGCATGAGTCCCCACTGTAAACATGAAAACTCGGAGGTCTGCACAGACTTTTCGAATCGGCGCCAGAGGCGCCGCCAGGGGGGCCCCAGCGCCGTGCCAAGAAATCCGCGCGGAGCTCCGAGTTTTTATGTTTGTGTCACTGCTTGCTCCCCGAAGCGAGGGGCAGGAACGAGGGCGGGACAAGAGGGGAGGAGGAAGCAGCAACACGTCCACAGCAGCCAGCACACGGTCGAGCGCACTGCGTCGGCTCACGATACCGACGCGGAGGGCGCCCAACAAAAGTCTGACGGCCCCGGACCATGTGTAAAGGGAAATTAGGACACACAAATAAATACACACAAATAAAAATAGTCCCCATATTTTCCCATATTTTCTGGGTTTTTGTCTTCCCCCCCAATTCCCATATTTTCCAATATTTTCCTTGGAATCGAGGATTAATTGTGTCTGTGTGTTTTTTTCCCTCCTGAATGTGGCCGGCGTCGGAAACCCTAAGCCCGAAAAGGTGCCCTCGCTCCGGGACGCATCTCTTTCTCCCGCCAGCCTGCGCACGCGGAAATCCGCCCTCGCGTCGCTCCCCTGAGCAGGAACCGACCGCGCCGGCATTCCTGTAGGCCTACCACGAAACCAACACATGTTCTGAGAACAATAACCATGTTCCTAGAACGGAAGGCCGATGTGCTGAAACAATATCGCCCCAACTAGAAATATTCCAAGAGAATTTCGCGCCAGCCATAAGAGCTCGACCACTTTTGGTGGGCCTACTAGCGAGCCAGGACGCTTCGCCAGTTCTTGACTTCCGCCGCCTCCCGCCGGCTTTCGGACGCTCTTTTGGCCGAGGGAGCGATGAAAACTCCTTCGGTCATCGAAGGCGACACCCTAACCTGGAACGCCCCATGCCCAGACCCCCGACGTCATACCTTTTGCATGACGTCGACTCCCAGAGGTCTCGACCCATTCCCTGGGACCGCTTCTTCATTCCGAGTCGTTTTTTTGCCGGTCCTGAGGCCCGGCAAGGGCCCCCAGAGGCCGAAAACAACGAGAAAACTTCCGTCGTTTTTTTTTTCATGACTCGAGGCGATCTGGGAACCTCGATCCTAGGAGGAGGAGGAGGAGGAGGAGGAGGAGGAGGAGGAAGAGGAGGATGAGGAGGAGGAAGAGAAGGAGGAGGAGGAGGAGGAGGGGAAGAAGAAGGGGAAGGAGGAGGCTGATGATGATGATGATGATGAGGAGGAGGTGGAGGAGGAGGAGAAAGGGGAGAAGGATGATGAAGATGATGATGATGATGATGATGAGGAGGAGGAGGGCGGAGAGGAGCGGATAAGGAGGGGGATGATGATGAAATGTGATGATGATGAGATGATGATGATGATGATGATTGATTGATGATGATGATTGATGATGATGATGATAATGATGGGGATGATGGAATGATGAATAATGATGATGATGATGGTGATGAGATGCTGATGATGATGATGATGAATGATGATGATGATGATATGATGATGATGAGATGATGATGATGAGCGGAGGAGGAGGAGGAGGAGGAGGAGGACGAAGAGGACGAGGACGAGGAGGACGAGGGCGAGGAGGAGGAGGACGAGGAGGAGGATGAGGAGGAGGGGGGGGGCTTCCTCGAGCAGCCACTGCAGCCCGGCGGCCAACTCATGGGGGGGGAAGAAAGGACGGCACATAACGGTGTGCCGGGCCACCGACGAGAGGTCCAGGTCCGCGCCTCCCAGAAAGTCGTCGGTACCTCCAGCGGGATGGGCCAAAGCGCGACGGGTCAGCACTCCGTAGCTTCACGTCTCTCACTCGTTTTGTCACTCTTCCTCTCTCACTCGTTGTTGTCTCTCTCTCTCTCTCTCTTCTGTTTTGGTTCTCTCTCTCTCTCTCTCTGCCTAGCTGCTTATTCACATCAGAGCTTTTTATACACGTATCAGTTTCAGGGGGCCGATCCGCCTTGCCATGTCCCCTGGGCGCGTGGCTGACGTGGGGTCCCGCCGTGCGGAGTCATCTTCTTCCTCTTCTCGTTGCCGGCCCCGCGACGAGGAGGAGGAGGAGGAGGAGGAGGAGGAGGAGGAGGAGGACGACGACGAGGAGGAGGACGAGGAGGAGGAGGAGGAGGAGGACCCCCCCGATCAGCCCGCGCCGCGCCCCCGCCGTCTCCGCGCCTCCCCCGCCCCCCAACCCCGCTCCCCTGGCCCCTGCGGGGGGAGGGGGGGCTCCCCACCACCCGCGGGAGGGTGGGGGGGCGGAGCGCCCGAGCGCGCTGCCCGCCGCGCGGCGGACGGCGCGCCGTGCGCTGCGTTCGCCACCAGAGTCTTCACGACCCACGCGGAAGACCACACGATCGGGACCACGCGGGGCACGCGCATGGGGGGCCACACGGGGCAGCACGTGCTGCCCTCTTCTCCCTCCCTCCCTCTTCTCCCTCCCCCCCCCTCCCCTCCCTCCTCTCCCTGCAGCACTGCGCCCCCCAGGGGTCCACGAGCCGAGCACGCGCATGGGGGCGAGGAGGAGGAGGAGGACGACGAGGAGGACGAGGAGGACGAGGACGTCCGCCGACCGCAAAGCGTTCCTCGATGCACTCGCGCGACACGCGCTGCTTATCGCGCAGTTCGTGGGCGACTCCTTCGTTCTCCCATCCTCCCAGAAAGGCCGCGGGAAACACAGGCCTTGCGCTGTCTTGCCAGCAGCAGCGGCGCCGCTCCCAGGGAGGCACTCAACGGCCGACGGCGATGGCGGAGGGTACGGCGACCCAGCTGCCAGGGGGGCCGGTTTCGGGACCGGGAGGGCTCCGTCCTCCACTGCTTGGGCCTGCTGGGCCGCCAGTGGACAGCGGCCTCGCGCTCCAGGCCCTCATCGGATCGGTGTGCGCGCGGCTACGGAGGAGGAGGAGGAGGAGGAGGAGGAGGAGGAGGAGGAGGAGGGGGAGCAGGACGAGGAGGAGGAGGAGGAGGAGGAGGAGGAGGACGGAGGGACGATGTGAGGGAAGGAGGAGGAGGGGAGGAGGAGGAGGAGGAGGAGGAGGAGGAGGAGGAGGTGGAGGAGGAGGATGGAAGAAGGGGGAGGAGGGAGGAGGAGGAGGAGGAGGAGGAGGAGGAGGAGTAGGAGGAGGAGGAAGGGAGGAGGAGGAGGAGGAGGAGGAGGAGGGGAGGGAGGGAGGAGGAGGAGGAGGAGGAGGAGGAGGAGGAGGACGAGGAGGAGGAGGAGGAGGAGGAGGAGGAGGAGGAGGAGGAGGAGGAGGAGGAGGAGGAGGAGGAGGGGGAAGGCACGCAGTCGCGACGACGCACCAAGCCACGGAGCTGCCGTCGCAGGTCGCGGCGGCGGCACGCTGCGGCGCAGAGAGCTTCTGGCTTCGCTGGCGGGCAGCGGCGGCCCGCCGGGAAGTACCGTGCGGCACGGAGGCGGCCGAGCGGCTGCTGGGCCTGGGGCGCAGGTACCCTTCCCAGACCCCCTCGCGCCGTGACAAAAAGCACGACGGGAGGTTTTTCGCCATTTTCGGCCCAGACCCCCTCGAGTTGCGACAAGAATCGCGACGGGAGGTTTTTCGCTCTTTTCAGCCTTTGGGGGCCCTTCCCGGGCCTCGGGACCGTCAAAAAACGACTCGGGATGAGAGACCGGTCCCGGGGAAAGGGCCCAGACCTCTGGGGGTCGACGTCGTGAAAAAAAACACGACGTCGGGGGTCCGGGTTGGAGGCGGGGGGGTCACGCGCGGGCGCTGGCCGAGACGAGGGTGCTCACGCGCTGGGGGGCCAAGCTGTTGCAGCGCCACTGCCCTGGCTCGGGCGCGCCTGCTGGCGCTGCCTGCCGCCCATGCGGTCACGCCAGCGGCGGCGGCTGCCTCCCGGCAGGCCAGGGGGCGCGACGCGGCTCGCCCACGCGGCGGACCCAGACCCCCGACGTCGTGGTTTTTTGTCGCAGCGTCGACCCCCAGAGGTCTGGACCCCTTCCCCGGGACCGGCGTCTCCTCCCGAGCCGTTTTTCGACGCCCCCGAGGCCCGGGGGAGGGCCCCTATATAGAGGGGCCGAGAATAGCGCGAAAAGCCTCCCGTCGTGATGTCTTCGCGACGCGAGGGGGTCTGGGGAGGTGCCTGAATACTGGCAGGCGCGTGCCGATTTTCCCGCCGACGGCTGATAGCCTCAGCTCGCCGCCCGCTGGCGCGGAAGCGAGGGCCAGGCCCAGCCCCCCGAGGCCCCCCTGACTCCAGATCCGCCCGACTTTGGCTTTTTCAACTTAAAACTGCGTCGGAAATCCACCGATAAGAAGCCGAAAAAAAGTAGGGCGGAAATTTCTGCACCCGCACCCAACAGAAAGTAGGCCGGAAATCCACAGAGGTAGGGCGGAAACAGCAACAGAAAGGTAGGGCGGAAATTGGCATCAGCGGGGCCTGAAAAGTAAGGCGGAAACTCCAAGCCCTTCTTACGAATTGCCCCAAAGTAAGGCGGAGCCGGAGTCAGGGAGAGGTCTGGACCCCGGGGGGCGGCGTTTCGTCCCGAGCCGTTTGTGTGAACGGTCCCGAGGCGAGGCAATGGCCCCCAGAGGCCGAAAGCGGCGCAAAACCTCCCGTCGTGCCTTTTTCCGTCGTTGTTTTTTCGCAGCCCCAGGGTGGCAACTCATAGGAGCCTCCCATACCGTCTTGTCGGCTCTTGCGGACCAAACGCTGGACCGACGGTCATCCACGATTGCCGACGCTAAACCTGTGCTATCTCATCGACTCCCAGACGCTCATCGACGCTATAATCGACGCCGAAGACGGAATCCAGAGGGCATACCAGGCTCGCATGACTTGCTACAGGAGGAGGAGGAGAACGAGGAGGAGGAGGAGGAGCAGGAGGAGGAGGAGGAGGAGAAGGAGGAGGAGGAGGAGGAGGAGGAGGAGGAGGAGGAGGGACGAGGAGGAGCAGGCGGTGCAGGAGGAGGAGGAGGTGGGAGGTGGAGCTAGCAGCGAGGAGCAGGAGGAGGAGGAGGTGCGGAGGAGGGGAGGAGCAGGAGGAGCAGGAGGGAGGAGGAGAGGAGGAGGAGCAGCAGGAGGGAGGAGGAGGAGGAGGAGGAGAGAGCAGGGAGGCAGGAGGAGGAGGCCTGGGGATTCTGGCCCCCATCCCCAGCCACTCTCGAGCAGCGCAAGCCTCGTCTCTCCCTCCCCGGCTGGGGCGCCGGGCGGCGCCGGCGAGTACGGAGCCGCCGCCGCCGGGGCCCACCTCGGCGCCGCGCGGCCGGGCCCGCGCGCCGGTGCCGACGTCCCGTCGCTGCGGGCACCGCTTCGTGTGAAGTCGGGCGTGTCCCCCTACAGGGGGATTCTGGGCGAAAGACTAAAAAAAACATACGCCCAAATGATCAAAAACAGTCCGAGAAGTCGTCCCCGGACTATTGTTTGACTGTTTGTGAAGATTCCCCCTGTAGAGGGACAGGCCCGACTTGAGCTTCGTGCAGCTGCGGGGGGGGGGGGGCCCCCCCCCCCCCCCCCCGACTACGGATCCGCCGTGCCGCGGGCGATCCCCTCCCTCCCTCCGTCCCTCCCCTCCTCCCTTCTCCCTCCTCCCCTTCTCTATCCTCTGGGAGTGGCACGGGCGGCGGGAACGGGCGGCGGGAACGGGAACGGGAACGGGCACGGACCCCTGGGGCGTTCGCGCGCCTTTGCGGGCCGCCCCCCCCCCGACTATAGGCGTCCGCCGTGCCGCGGGCGATGCCGCCAGCGGGGCGCGGCGAAAGTGCCGCCCTGCGCCGCAGGCGCCCTCTCGGTGCCGGCTGCCCCCCTGCTCTGCCGTGGCGGTTTCCGCCACCTGCCTGTGCGAGCCTGTCCGTCCTGCTGCTTTTGCTGAGGCGGGAATATCCGCCCTACGTTTTCCCATGGTTCGGGTGTTGCTAGAAGTGCTGGTGTTTTCCCCGCTGTACTTGAGGCTGGTGTTCGCGACGTGCCGCTGACGGCTACACCATCTCCACCACCCCCCGGGCATTCGCCCCCGGCCCCGTCCACGGCGTACCCTCACCTGTGCAAGCTCTTCGGCACCGCCTGCACCCCGGGCTCCACCTGCTCCGGCCGCCCGAGGCCCCGCCTTCCTGCGCCCTGTCTCCCTAATTAAAGCTGCGCGTAGCCCGCCTAGCTTTTAGCGGAAGAGGTTCGCTCTCGCCCCGCCGACCCCCAAAAAATGTTGCTAGAAGTGCCCCCAGCTTCGCGCTCCATTCTGGAGGCCCTGGGCCCTCTGGGCCTCGAAAGAGATGCCCTGGAGGCCGTTTGGGCCACCCCGAGAATCCTGGGGGTGCCTTGGGCCAGTGGTACTGCTAGCAACACCCGAATCGTGTGGGGTGCATTCCTGGTCGGAAAATCAACCAAAGCACGGCGGATTCGGAATCAGAGCCACCTCCTCTCGTCATGACACAACTGACGGCACCAACTTGTCGGCCGCGGTCGGTCGTCGGGGGCCCTCGCCGGGCCGCGGAGTCGTCCCCAAATGGGCTAGGATGAAAGACTCGTCCCGGGGGCCAGGAGGCAGAACGAAGTGCCAGGAGGAGGGAGGAGCAAGGATAGGAAGAGGAGGTGGAGCAGGAGGAGGAGGAGGAGGAAGATGAGGGGGGGAAGGAGGAGGAGGAGGAGGAGCAGGAGGAGGAGGAGGAGGGGGAGCACCCACGGGCGCAGGAGGCAGGCGGTCAGTGGGCCGGACCACTGAGCGCGAGAAGGACGTCGAGCGCAAGCGCTCTGGCACTGCCGCAGAATAGCGGTATCCGTGTGTGCCAATGCGGGCTCAGCCCGCCAAAGCATATGCCTTGAGACAAAATGGTTACGGAAGGAGGAGGAGGAGGAGGAGGAGGAGGAGGAGGAGGAGAAGGGGAAGAGGAGGGGAAGGAGGAGGAGGAGGAGGAGGAGGAGGAGGAGGAGGAGTCCAGCCTTCCGGGGGCCCACGCAGTGAAGCAACGGCGGCGTCGGAGTTCCGGGGGTAGGAGCGGCAGTGGGCGGGGCACGCCGATGCGTCGCCCTCTGGCTGGCTGGCACTTGGCTCCTGCTCTGGCTGCTGCTCCCCCGCCTCCTCTCCCAGCTCTCCCCCCCCCCTCGCTTCTCCCCGTCCCTCTCCTTCCGCGTCCTCCCTGTCTCTCCGCCGTCCTCCCTCTCCCTCTCCCCCTGCCCTCCCCCCTGCTGTCTCATCCTCCGTCGCTCGTCCTGCTCCTATGTCTCGCTCCTTCCGCTGCCCCCGTGTCTCCTTCAGCGTCGGCCTCGCCGTCTCCTTCTTCCAACTCCTGCCGCTCTCGTCCCAATGCCTCTCCCGCACCCTCTCTCTTGGAGGAAGAGGTGGAGGAGGATGGGGGAGGGAGGAGACATGGAGGAGGGAGACAAAAGATGGTGCAGGAAGGAGGGAGGAGTGAAGGGGGAGCAGCAGGGAGGAAGGAGTGAAGGGGATGGGGGAGGAAGGACAATGAACAAGGGCAGTCGAACATAGGAGGGGGACGAGTATGGAAATATGCTGCGGGAGGCGAATGCGGAGAAGTGGAGAAAGAAGAACATAGAATGGAGTGGGAGGAAGGTAACCTTGCAAGCTGCTTGAAGAGTTCGGGCTGTCGTATATCAAGAACTTCAGCCCCACCAGCTCCACGACGCCCCAGCTATCGGGGCAGTCGAACGTGAAGTCCTGTGGCGAACGCCCTACTTCACTCCACTATTCAAACACCCTTCTCGCCCAACCGCCCATCTTCCCCCTTCCTCCTCTACCTCGTCCTCCGACTACTCCTCCGCTCCTTCTCTCTATCCTTCTCCTCCACCATCCTCTTCCTCTCATTGGTCCTGCCCCTGCTATGCTAGATGATTTCGAGGGAGGTCCTTGGGAGTTCCTCCCGGGGGTCTGAAAGGCTCGTGGAAGTTTGTAGCAAAGCCGACTTCGTCTCGCGAGGATCTGGGGAATTCGTGATGGCTGCGACGTTGCACGTGCTATCACCAACACGAGCGAGGACAAGCGCTGAAACATGCATGTTGAAAGCATGTGCTTCCGCACGGTACACTGGAACTCACAAGTTAGCATGCACGGCTGCAGAAACGGGCACGGTGGGGAGAAGTAATGGGAGGCGGGAGAGGGGGAGGAGGGAGAGGGGGAGGAGGAGGAGGAGGAGGAGGAGGACGAGGAGGAAAAGGAGGAGAAGAAGAAAGAAGAGGAGCAGGGAGGACGAGGCGCTTCGGGGACTGGCCCAAACCAGAGTTTAAACTCGCGAAGCCCTGCGGGTGAACATGCACGCAAAGCCAGGAAGAAGATGAAACGGAGGACGAGAAGGAGGAGGAGGATCACGCGCTGCTCACGAGGGAGAGGAGGAGTAGGAGGAGGAATAACAAGAAAGGGATAGAGAGAGAGAGGGACAACAAAAGAGAGACGAAGAAAAATAGGGCGGGGACGGGAAGCATGAGAAGAAGCAGGGGGAAGCGGGAGGGAAAGAGGTGGAGGAGGAGAAGGAGGAGGGAGAGAGGGGTGGGCGAATGATGAGAATGATGATGCTGGTGGTGATGATGATGGTGATGACGATGCTGATGATGATGATGATGATGATGATGATGGCGATGGCAATGACGATGGCAATCACGATGATGATGATGATGCTGGCGATGATGGTGATGATGACGATGATGATAATGATGATGTTGATGGTGATGATGATGATGATGATGGTGGTGATGCTGCTGATGCTGATGATGTTGATTATGATGCGGACGATGATGTTGATGCTGATCCTGATGGTGCCGATGGTGGTGGGGGTGGTGGTTATGAGATGATGACGCCGTTGCTGATGACGAATGGCATTGATGCTGCGTATGTTGATGCTGCATATGCTTCTGATGCTGACGCTTAAAAAACAATGAAAACGGTGATGGACATGATCCTCCTGATGATGGTGATTAGCATGATGCTGGTGATGACGATGCTGATGCTGACGATGATGATGACGACGACGATGATGATGATGATGATGATGATGGTGGTGGTTGTGGTTATGATGATCAGGATGCTGCTGCTGATGCTACGGTTAATGGTACTGATGATGATTATGATGCTGCTGATAGTGAGTATGGCGATGACGTGCTGGTGAAGATGATGATGCTGATGATGGTGATGATGATGATGATGATGATGTTGATGATAACAGGACTGGTAACTATGATGATGATGCCAATGATGCTGCATATTGAAATTGTGATGATGCTGATGGTGATGATGATGATGATGCTGATGCTGACGATGATGATGATGATGTGACGACGACGACGATAACTATGAAGATGATGATGGTGGTGATGATGGTGGTGATGTTGGTTGTGATGATGCTGATGCTGATGCGAATGCAGATGGTAATTATGATGCTGCTGATAGTAAGGATGACGATGACGATGACGATGACGACGATGACGATGACGATGATGATGATGCTTCTAATGATGCTGCTGATGATGATGCTGATGATGAGTGTTGTTGATGATGATGATGCGGATGCGAATGATAATGCCGATGACGATGATGACGAAGACGCTACTGATGACGATAATGCTGATGCTGATGATGGTGATGATTATGCTGATGATCATGCTGCTGCTGCTGATAATGAGAATGATAATGATAATGATGATGATGATGATGATGATGATGATGATGATGATGATGATAATAATAATGATGGAGGTGATGGTAGTGATGATGAATGATGATGACGAGGAGGAGGAGGAGGATCGTGATAGATGAGGCAGAAGGGCGATGCAGGAGAGGGGCAGGACGAGGGAGGAGAACGCGGGGGTGATGCTGATGCGTCTGATGATGTTCACGTTGGCGGTGATGATGATTCGATCATGTCGTGCGAGGCTGGTCCACCCCTTCCTCCTGCGGCGGGTCGAGGCACGGCGAGCTCCAAGTTCCAAAGCCAGCGCCCTTGACCAGGTCGGGTGACCCGCGTCCGACGGGCAACCCCAGGCGCAGAGCGGTGGCGCAGGTCGCGTCGCCGTCGCCGTCACGCTGGCGCGTCCACGGGCACGTGGCCGAGGAGGAGGAGGAGGAGGAGGAGGAGGAGGAGGAGGAGGAGGAGGAGGAGGAGGGGAGGAGGAGGAGGAGGAGGAGGAGAAGGAGGAGAGCGGGAAGGCATGGACGCAACGGCGCCCCGTTCGCCTGTGCCCGGGGACCTCAGCCGACGGGGATGGGGGAGCCCCGCGTCCTCGACCCACGACGGGGACAGGGTGTTGTACACCAGCCTCGTGGCGTGGATGTTGACGAGGTGGTTGTTGGACCGGATGCCTCCGCTCATCCCGCCAAATCCAAGAGACCCAGCCGGGCCGGCTTTTGGCAGCGCGCACAAGGGGGGAGGGGGGACGTATCGGGGGAGGGGGGAAGGCCCCTTAGGAGGAGGCTGCTTCTCGGCAGGCGCCGGCCTTGCGTCTGACAGACAAGGCCCGCGCCTTCTAAGAATAAACCTCCTCCTAGGAAACCTCCCCCCTCCCCCATACCCCCATCCGCGCGTGAGGCCCGACGTGGTTTTCGGGCCACAACTCGGCTCTCTGGCGGCCGTTCGGGACGATTCCGGCAGCCCCGGCACGCCCTCGACGAGGCGCAGCTGATGGAACTTCCGATGGCGCCCAAAAACGTCGCTACGTCGGATCTCAGGGGAAGAAGGGCACGTGGGACAGAGGGCACGTGAGCGACGGATAACAGTAAAGGGCGCGATCCCGAGGTTGGTCACCGCGACCTTGAGGGCGCGCTGTCGCGGGGCCGCGGCGCGGCACGCGCCCACTGTTGGTGCGGAGGGCGCTCGCGCGGCAGGCGTACCCGAGATAATGCTGTCTCGGCCTTTTCCCGGGCATGGAGCCCGGTTTTTTTGTTGGCGCCCACGTTACGGACAGCGCACCCAGACTCCAAATCCGCCCTACTTTGGCTTTTAGTCCAACGTAAAATTGCGTCGGAAATCCACCTATAAGAAGCCCGAACAGTAGGCGGAAATTTTCTGCGCCCAACGGAACGTAGGGCGAACATCCACAGATACGAGGGCGGAAACAACATAGAAACGAAGGCGGAAATTGGCTTCAGCGGGGCTTGAAAAATAAGGCGGGAATTCAAGCCCTATTACTCACGTATTCCAGAAAGGGAGGAGAGAGGAGGGAGGGGGGAGGGTAGGAGGGAGGAGAGGGGGAGGGAGGAGGAGGAGGAGGAGGGAGGAGGAGGAGGAGGGGGAGGAGGGTAGGAGGAGGAGGGAGGAGGGAGAGGGTGGAGGAGGAGGACCAGTAGGACGAGGGGGTGAGGCGACGTGCGAGGGCCGACCACGGCCGTTATCGCCCAGACCTCGAGCAACAAGCCGGGCCCCACACGCAAGAGAGCGGCCCCGGGCAGGAGCTCCGCTCCGCTGCGCGGCCGTGGGGGGCCCCGGGGGGCCACGCGCCGGCCGGACAAGAAGGCAATACAAACAGGAAGCAGGAAGGGGCTAGACGACAGAAATAAAAGACAATCAACAAAACTTAAAAGCAGAAAGACAAAACAAACAATAGAAAACCATAAAAGACATACTTACCTAAAAACATAAAGACAAAACACACTATTAAAAAAAAACAATAGCATACATAAAAGACGATTGAGTAGAGAGTAGACTGGGCCCAGGCCCTCCCAGGGAATCAGAGAGCGCAGCAGAAGCATGCCGCCTCTGGAAGCAGGAGGGCGCTTGGAGTAGAGAGTGGGGCCCCGGACCCCCGACGCCATGACTTTTCCACGACGTCGACCCCAAAAGGTCTCGACCCATTCCCTGGGACTGGTTTTGCATCCCGAGTGGTTTTGTGACGCTCCCGGGGCCCAGCGAGGGCCCCGAGAGGCCGAAAATAGTGAGAAACTTCCAGTCGCTTTCCCATCCACCTGCCCCGTTTTTTTCGACGTGTGGGCCCCGGAGATCTGGGCCACTTCTGAGCCGGCTTCTCGTCCTGAGTCGTTTTTCACGCTCCCGAAACCCGGCGAGGGCTGCCATAGGCCGAAAACGGCCAGAAACCGCCTGCTCCAATTTTTTCGGAGCGTCGGACCTCAGGGGGAGGAGGAGGAGGAGGAGGAGGAGGAGGAGGAGGAGGAGGAGGAGGAGGATGAGGAGGAGGAGGAGGAGGAGGAGGAGGAGGAGGCCGCCGCCGCCCCGCTGCTGCCCCGCCGCCCGCCCTGCCCGAAGCGGAGGGCCCAGCAGGGCCTCTGAGCTCGTGCCGGGAGGCGGCCGATCGTGCAGCGGAGCCGTGGGGGGGTGGCGGCGGCGGCCGCGGTGGCGGCAGCGCCGGGTGCTGCGAAAGGTGCCCCTCCTCTCCTCCTCCTGAGAGGCTTGTGTTATTCCTGTACTCCTGCCTCCTCCTCCCTCCTACTTCCTCTCCTACCTCCTCCTCTCCTCCTCGCCTCCTCCGCCTCCTCCGCCGTCTCCGCCTCCTCCTCCTCCTCCTCCTCCTCCTCCTCTCTCTGCCTCCTCCGCCGTCTCCGCCTCCTCGCCTCCTCCTCATCCTCCTTCCGAGTCCTCCGACGGCCTCCGCCTCCTCCCGCCGTCTCCGCCTCATTCCTCTCTCTCCTCCTCCTACCTCACTCCTCCTCCTCCTCCTCCTCTTTCTCCTCATCCTCCTCTCTCCCCTCTCCTCCTCCTTCCCTCTCTCGCCTCCTCCTCCTCCTCCTCCTCCTCCTCCTCCTCCTCCTCCTCCTCCTCCTCCTCCTACTCCCTCCTCCTCCCCCTTCTCCTCCGCCTCCTCCGCCTCCTCCTCCTCCTCCGAGGAGGAGGAGGAGGCGGAGGCCCCCGCTCCCCTCGGCCCTGGAGGAGGAGGATGCTCACGAGAGGCGCTGGGCCGATTTGGCCCAGCGCCTCTTCTCGGCTGCCACTTGGAGCCTGCCTGAGGATCTTGGGCGTCGCTGGCCAGATTCAGCACGCACCATTCCTCACCGCGGAGACAGCGACACTGATTAGGCATTCAGGAGCCTGCTCCATATTTGTCTGGTCAGTTGGTGGGGTCGGGGGTCGGGTCCTGTTCTGGGGTTGCCCCGAGTCAGTATCCGCCCCGCCCTTCCTTGTGGTGCCTGGCTGGACTTCGCCTTCGTTTCTTCTTGTGCGGTGCTGGCTTGTGCCAGCACGCTGCTTCCCTCGCCGCGGTGGCAGTGACACTGTTCAGACATGTAGGGGACTGCCCCATATTTGTCTGGGTGTTTGGTGGAGTCGTGGGTCGGGTCCTGTACCGAGGCTGCCCCGAGACAGCACCCGCCCGTTCTGGCCTAGAACGGGACCGTTCTTGGTTAGAACGGGGCCGTTCTGGTCTGGAGCGGGGTCGTTCTAGTCCAGAACGGCCTCCTTCCTGCCCTGGTGGCGCCAGGCAAGACTTCACATTTTGTTTCTTCTCGCCCAGCCTGTGTGCGCGGGTAGAAACTTCGAGCCTGCCTGTGAGAGGTCGGCTGGTGTTTTTGTTTTTTGCCCCGGGTGTCTCGCCCTCCCCGGAGGTGACGTGCGGACTGCATGCTGCGCTGCGGCAAACAATCCTCCTCCTCCTCCTCCTCCTCCTCCTCCTCCTCCTCCTCCTCCTCCTCCTCCTCCTTCAGATCACCCCTCACGAAGCTCACAATTAGGGCCCCAGGGGCTCCAAAGTGGAGCGAAGAGCTGGGGGCACCTTGGGCCAAGGGCACCTTCACCCCCGACGGCGGCGATGGCAGCGGCGTCGATGGCGCTGGCGGCAATGGCTGCGGCGGCGGCAACGGTGGCGGCTGGCGGACCCTTCACCACGCAGAAGATGGCCGTGGTGCCCAGCCCGGCCTTGCTCGGGAGGCCCTTGGCGCTGACCACCTGGGGCAGCTTGCGCCCGCGGACACCGTGCTTTTGATGTGGAGAGGAGTAGGTATCGGGAGCGGCCAAGAGGGGGGGGTCCAAGAGGGGGGGGTGCAAATCATGACCGGCGGCATGTGCGCGGCCCAGCGGGGGGGCAGGGACGTAATGAAATAAGAAGAGGCGCCATGAAATCTGGGGAAATACCATGGCCCACGCCATGATATCCACCCCCCCTAGTCATCACCCCCCTCTTTTCCGCCCCCGAAGGTAGAAGAGGATAGCGCGATCATAGCGTCGCTGTCGACACCACAGCGCGCCCAGCCATCTGGCGGGCCCCCATCCCTCTCGCCGGGGCCTCCTCCTGTAGTTCCCCCGCCCCAGGGGCACCGCCAGGGCTGCGCCGTGCAGGGGCGGCAGTGCTCAAACAGCAGCCAGAGCAGCAGAGGAGGTCCCTCTCCTCTCGCTCCGGGTCCTCTTCCTTCCCATCCTCCTCCTCCTCCTCCTGGTCCCCCTCCTCCTCCTGGTCCTCATCCTCCTCCTCCTCCTCCTCCTCCTCCTCCCCCTCCTCCTCCTCCTCCTCCTCCTCCTCCTCCTCCTTCTCATGCGTTTCCTCCTCTTCCTCCTCTTTGCCCTGCACCGCCTCCCCCACTCCTACAAGCAGGCGGAGGACGCACGCACGCAGGTCATCACTCTCCTGGTGAACTCCTCGGTCGTCGTCCTCCGCCCCGTCGCCCACCGCGTCGCAGTCGTCCTCCTCGTCGTCCGGTGGCCGCTGGAGGCCTCGGAAAGCCTCCGGGGGTCTGCAGAGGCCTCTCGCAGAGGCCCCCGCTAAGCTTCCGCGGGGCCTCTGGAGGAGGAGGAGGAGGAGGAGGAGGAGGAGGAGGAGGAGGAGGAGGAGGAGGCGGCCCTGGATTAAGACAAAGCCAGGACGAGGATCCGCCGGCCCCCTTGTGGGGCCATCAGGCTGCGAGGGTTAGGCTTGCTGCTCCCAGCGCCAGTTCCAGCTTCCAGTTTCCGATGTTACAGTCCTGCTTTCTGCTTCCTATGGTAAAGCGTTGAAGTCCGCGCGACGGGGGGTCGCGTTGTCTGAATTCCTGCGGGTCCGTGGGACATTCAAAAATGCTTGATATTCGCGTTCCCGACGCAATAATCCCCTTTAAATTACATTGTATTCGCGTCTCCGAGGCCACGATCGCTTGTAACGTACACAACATTCGCGTCCCCGAAGCCACGATCCCTTGCAAAATACACCACATTCGCACCCACGAGGCCACGATATCCTGAAAAATTGTTCATTCGCGCCTCTGGGGCCACGATCCCCCGTAAATCGTAAATTGCGCCACGATTGCGCCCCCGAGGCCACGATCCCCTGCAAATTACGCAATGCTCGCGTCCCCGAGGCCAGTAACCCTCGCAAATTATACAATGTGTGCGCCCCCGGGGCAACAACCCCTCCTAAATTATGCAGTGTTCGCGTCACCGAGGCCATTCACCCTCGCAACTTACACAATTCTTGCGCCCCCGAAGCAGCAAACCCTTGTAAATCAGTCAAGGGTTGCGTCCCCGAGGCGACAATCCCTCGCAAATTACATAGAAATTATTCGCGCCCCCGAAACCAGAATTCATTATACAATAAGGGATCTTCGTGTCCCCGAGGCCACAAACCCTAGCAAATTGCTGAATACTCGCGTCCCCGAAGCCAGATTCCCTCGAAAATTACGCGATGCTCGCGACTCCGAGGCTACAACACCTTTTTGCAAATTGCTTAATTATTGCGTCCCCGAGGCAACGAACCTCCACAAAGTGTCAAAGATTCGCGTCCACGTGGCCAGAAACCCTCGCAACTTACGCCGCATTCATACTGCCGAGACCAAGAATGCTCCAAGGCGCCCGAAGATGGTTCCAAGACGGCCCAAGAGGGCTCCAAGAGCGCTCCAAGAGGCCCCCCAAGAGAGCCCCGAGAGGCCAACATCGTCGATTGTACGACAAGTTGTTTGGAGGAGCTTGGGGTTCTCGAATGTTCGGCTGTCCGACGCTCCAAGATGGCTCAAAAAGCTCCCAAGACCGCCCCAAGACAGCCCAAGACGCCTCCAAGAGGGCCCCGAGACGGCTCCAAGATGGCCCAAGAAGCGCTCCGAGAAGCCCCGAGAAGCCCCCAGGAGGCCCCAAGATGCCCCAAGAGACGCCCAAGACGCCCCAAGGAGGCCTCCAAGAGGCCCAAAAGATACCCCACGAGGCCCCGAGAGGCCCCCCAGAGGCGCCGAAACCGCCTCCAAGAGGCTTCCGAGAGGCCCCCCACGACACCCCAACACATATACAAGAGGCCTCAGACCCACAACCCAGACACGGCGGCGGGATGGGCCGAAGGCCACTAGGACCCGTCGCCCCCTGTCGATTCATCACAGGGGTGCCTGGCGTGCTAGACTATTTCGGTTTGGGTTTCGGTTCTTTTTCCAAAAGGACTCCCCCTGGGGCTTCGGCCCGTCCCGCCGGCCAGCCGGAAAGCGCGCAATTCTCGAAATGTTCTCCCTCCAGATGGCCCATGATGGTCTCCAAGATGGCCACGTTGGCCCAAGATGGCCTCCAAGATGGTCCAAGATGACCTCCAAGTCCGCCCAAGACGGTCCAAGACGGCCTCCCGTACGGCCCAAGAGAGTCCAAGACGGCCGACGACGGCCCAAGAGGCCCCCCAGAGGCCTCCAAGACGGCCCAAGAGGCCTCCAAGAGGTCCTCCAGGAGGGCCCGAAGAGGCCAAAATCATTGATTTTCCGTCGGTTTTTGAAGCATTCGCTTCTTCTCGGCTTTCCGACAACCCAAAACAACCCAAAAGGCCCCCAAGATCGCCCCCATAGCGCCCAAGAAACCTCCAAGATGGCTTCAAAACCGTCCCAGAGGCCCCCAAGACGGCCCCAAGAGGCTCCCAAGACGGCCCAGGCAGCTTATAAGACGCCCAAGATGGCCTCCTAGACGGCCCTGGAGCATTCCAAGAGGGCCCCAAGTCGGCTCAGAGACGCCCCCCAAACGGCTTCCGACGGCGTCGGACGGGCCAGGAGCCCACCAAGACGGCCGAAGATGGCACTAAGATGGCCCAAGACGGCCCAAACGGCCCTACAGGAAGGCCCGAAAAGGCCAAAATTATTGATTTCCAATGAGTTTTTGAAGGATTGTGGCATTTGCTTTTTTTCGGCCTTCCGACGGCCCGAGACGGCTCAAGTGCCCCCGAAGATCGCCCAAGAGGCCCAAGACGGCCCCACGAGGCCCCCAAGACGGCCCAAGAGGCCTCCAAGAGGCTCAATATAGCCTCCAAGACGGCCCAAGAGCCCTCCAAGACGTCCCCCAAGAAAGTCAAAATGGCCTCCAGACGGCCAAGATGACCTTCAAGATGCCCACGTGTTCCCCGAAGGCTTTCCAAACCGATTCGGGGAACACATCAACGTTCGGCCACATAGGCGCTTCCAAAAAGGCAGGGGGCGGCGGTGATTCGCCGTAAGCGTCTTCGATCCGCCGCCCCGTGTTGCTTGCAAGAGGGGTGCTTGGCGTGCTGAATCCTATCGTTCTTGGTTTGGGCTCTTTTTCCAAAAGGACTCCCCCTGGGGCTCCGGCGCGTCCCGCTGGCCACCCGAAAGCATGTCGAAACGTTGCCTGGACCCGGCTCCAAATGGCTGTTCCTGGTCCAGACGGCTCCACGACGGCCCAAGATGGCCTCCAAGATGCATCCCAGAAGGCCAAGATGGCCTCTAAGACGGCTAAGATGGCCCCAAGATGCCTCCAAGACGGCCAAAGATGTACCCAAGATGGCCTAAGATAGCCTCGAGGTAGCCCAAGACGGCCCAAGAGGCCTCAATACGGCCCAAGAGGCCTCCAAGAGGTGCTCCAGGAGGGCCCGCAGAGGCCAAAATCAGAGATCCGGCCGCTCCCGCCCTGCGGGTTGGGCCGTGCGAGACATCTCTGACAAAGTGTTCGGCACTATCTTTCCCCTTCCTTCGCCAGTGGCTGGTCAAAGCCCTCCTGAAAGTCCCTCCGAGGGGGCCCCACTCTGCCGGCGGACCCCCCCTCCCTGAACAGTTCCGGCGCCCGGGGGCGAGTCAAGAGCGCCCTAAAACGGGCCAAGAGAGCCCCAAGACGGCCCAAGCGAGCCTCCAGACGGTTCCAGATCGCTCCAAGACGCCTAAGATGGCCTCCAGACGGCCCAAGACGCCTCCAAGACGGCCCAAGAGGGCTCCAAGAGCACCCCCAAGACAGCCCCGAGAAGCAAAAATCATTGATTTTTCAATGGTTTTTGAAGGATTTACACGTTCACGCCATTTCGGCTTACCCACGCTCCACGACGGCCCAAGAGGCCCCCCAGATCGCCCCAGGACGGCCCAACAGGCCCCCAAGACGGCCCCAAGACGGCCCAAGAGGGCCCCAAGACCGCCCAAGAGGCCCCCGGAACGGCCCAAGAGGGGTCCCAGGATGGCCCCAAGAGGAGGCCCAGAAGGGGTACCCGAATGAACATGTCGAGCTTTCGGCTCGAGAGGCCCCCAGGAGACCCTAAGAGGCCCCCTGGAGGCCCCCAACAAACCCCAAGAGAGCCCCAAGAGGCCCCAAGAGGGCCTCAAGAGGTCTCCAAGAAGCCCCTGGGACGCCCCCAAGAGGCCCCTAAACTGCCCCGCAGAAGCCTCCGAGAGCCCTCTCGAGAGACCCCAGGAAGCGTCCATGAGGACTCCGTCCGACCCAAAACCCAAGCACGGTGGCGGGATGGGGCGACGGCTATTTGATAGCTGGCATACGCGCCGCGTCACGACTTTCGATGCTGCGCACCTCTTCGAAAAACTCCCAGGGAGCGGCCGGTGATGCGCCGCCGGCGTCCTCGATTTTCCATAGGTTTTTGAAGGATTGTGGCATTTGCCTCTTCTCGGCATTCCGACGGCTCAAGACGGCCCAAGAGGCAGCCAAGATCGCCCCACCATCGCCCACGAGGCCTCCAAGAGGGCCCCATGACGGCCCAAGAGGCCTCCAAGACGGCCCCAAGACGG